CCTGCCATTCACCTTGTCTTGATGGATTGGTTGCCGTGAGGAAATCCGGCAAGGTCATGAGGTGTGACCTCACCGAGCTTTGATGGCGCATGTTCATCCCAGTGCCGTTCATTCAATACTACGCAATAGAGGCAGTGTCTGATTGGAGACAAAAGAGCCTCGAATCTTGGTCGATCTGAAGGCCACTTGGCTTGTATGGTCACCGGTTTGAGATGCTCTATTTTTCTGCTCACACGCTTTCTCCCCCCTTCACAGGAAGCAGTCCCAGTATTCTCTTTCGCCCACCACTTCATCTATACAGACGCCGGGGGCCCGACCCGAACATGCAGGAACAAGTTAGGGCGATGAAAACCGGTTGCACTTCCTACCGAGACTGTTGGTTCCTAAACTGGGTTGCAATTGATGTTGCGGTCTCGTTTAGCTAACCTGTTCGGGGATTCATTGCAGTTGGATAGGCTTTATGTTTTCTTTTGCGACACCTAGGTTGGTAGGCTGGCTCAATCCGTTAAGATCGACAACTAAGGTCTGCGACACCATGTCACTTTCCCATGGGACCATTGATCCCTGGGTCAGGAAATGTCACAGGGAAACTACTTCTGATTATCTCTCAAGCCGCGGCCCTGGTACGCGGAACCATCAACTTCAGACCCCCGATCTCCCTTGCGACGGATTTTTGCTTTTGGGGCCCTTAGTTGGGGAGGTGAGTTCTTATTTCCGGTATGCGGCCTTTTCTTTCATTATTTTGAGGGACAGCTTGGAAAGGGTTGGTGATGATCAGGGTTCTTTCTCGGTTGGCTAACTTCGGACTATGTAGCAACTATGTTATTTGGTCAACCCTTTCGTTTCCCGGAAGCCGGGAGTGGTGGTACTCACTTAGATCGTCTATGGTCGTCTGCGATGATCATGAGAGTAAAGTCTCAACTCTATCGAGATGATGGGTACCCCAAATGTGAACGTGGTTGATGTGCGTTCGTCGCTTGCAGCCCCTAATGGTCCCTTAGTGTCCAGGGACCAACACATAAGATCCTCTACTATACTCCCCACAGCCCCTCCTCATTGTGACAGTTTCGAGATATCATATTGTCGGCCCTGAAGACCAAGTTCTATCATCTCTGAATATGACACCCCTCCAGGCACTCCACCAGACAGCCAACTTCGTCTCCCCAACTGGGCGATTGATCTCCTTAGCTTGGTCGGCTAAAACAGGGAAGTTAACTAACATCACAAGACCAGGGTTTACGCCTGTTTCTAATCTCGCCGAGAGTTTAACGAGGATGCGCGCCGACGAGGGTGCGAGAGAGATTCCAGTAGCTCTGCAAAGGTAGGCGACTTCTAATTGGGTTTGTCGTGTCCCTATCGACGCATCCGTAAAACCATGCGAAGATGGGGGTATGGGGCACTCAGTTGTTAGAACGGAAAACTACCGACTTTTTCAAAGTATACCTTTTCCACTCGCTAATGGATGTGTATGAAAAAACCTTTACGCGAGGCGGGTGTGCTTGAAAGATAACGCCGGATCGAGCTGGTACCGCTCAACCGGTGGAGATACTTTTCGATCCTGCACTGTAACAACACTTTGTCTCAGAGAAGTGAGAGAAAGCAAGTACTATGAGGTTCCATCGATCGTGGTCCTTTTGACAGGAGGCCACCAAGTTGGAACGGTGGGTGTGTCTTGGTTTGGCCAGGCTGATGGGTTTACCCTACAACACATTTGAGGCCCTCCTTGATGTTCAACTTCCCATGCAGGAAAGATCATGATTCTTGGCCCAGTCACTAGATTTGAGCTGATCAGGGTTCTGTACATGCCATCCAATGAAACCCATGGCCCCGTGGTTGCGCAGCAGAGGGGCGAGATGGTTGGGTGAATCATAAGCGATAGTGAGGCGAGTTGACACTCAGCCCGATACTCATCGGACGAAATGACAGAATGTTACTCATCCGACCTATACTCTAGAATTCCGTGGACTAACACCATCATACCCCAGTTGAGCGTCTTCACTTGTCGCACAGGTGTTCTCGTGACCGTGTATGCCAATCCTCGTCCAGCTGTCAGCGCCTGCCACTCCAGCGATACCTCCAGGCCTTGATCCAGACCGTCTTTTCCATGGCAGCACCTCACGACATGAGCCTTACAGAACATTATGTTGACCATGATTCACAACCAGACTCCAAAGAACAAGAAGACCGAGGCCGCACTGTACAGCTGGGTGCCAGATGGCAGGACATCTACAGTGTGAAAGACCAAATATGAAACGAGCACTGTGCCCCAGTAATTGCGCCTGCAAACAAGTCGGGTTGGCTGACAGGCCCGACACTGTGGCCCAACCATCATCATCAGTGCGGCTGGCTTCACAAACAAGAAATCGAAAAGAAGAAAGAGAGTGCGGGAGGCCCGGATGAGAAGCGGTTCCTCGACGGATCCAAAGCAGAAAGAGGCAGGAAACATCGAGCGCAAAGCATCGATCAAAACATCCCCGCCATTCTTCGCTGGTGGAGGGCACGCCTCTTGTCTGCACCCCGCCTCTCAGCTCAGCTCAGTTCAGCTCAGCCCATGATCCAGCATGAGCGACCTACAGCGAGCCTGGGCAAAGTCCAAGTATGGCATGTCCAACGACATCTTTAACGAGCTGGACGAGGAGCAGGAGACTGATATGGTCCCTGAACTCCCGGAGCCTGTGGACGACGACTCCTCGTCTGCTTCCTCGGCATCGTCCGTCTCTTCTACCGGCACCGTCATCCCATCGGCGAACCAGAAGCTATTTGCTCGACCTCAAGGGTAGTTCCAACGCATCTTGCTGAGAATCCATGGCGGGACTGACACTTTGCAGAGTCGCCCGTGGCAGGACCCTCGAGCAGATCCCTTGGACCACCTACTTTGAGCGAGAGTTGTCCCTGAGGTCGGAGCAGGACCCAGAGGTAGTCTATCATGCCTACCTGACATCGCCAGTGGACAAGGGGCCACTGTTTGTAATGCATCATGGAGGAGGATCCTCTGGGCTGTCGTTTGCCGTGGTGGCTTCTGAGATTAAAAAACGCCTTCCCGCGGCTGGCATTCTGGCCCTTGACTGCAGAGGTCACGGGTCGACGGTCGTCCCGGGAGATGCGGCGCTGGATCTGAGGCTGGAGACACTATCGACAGACCTCTTCAACGTCATCCAGCTGACCAAGTCTGAGATGAAGTGGCCAGGGATGCCACCGATCGTGCTCGTGGGACACTCACTTGGTGGAGCCGTCGTGACTGACTTGGCCAAGACGGGCCGGTTGGGAGCATCGGTCTTGGGGTATGTCGTGCTGGATGTGGTGGAGGGCTCAGCCATCGATGCTCTGCAGAGCATGCATACGTACCTATCTACGAGACCATCGGGATTTGCGACGCTGCAGGCAGGTATTGACTGGCATGTCCGATCGCGAACGATCCGCAACTCGATCTCTGCCCGGACGTCTGTTCCTGCACTGCTGGTCTTTGATGCGAACCAAGACCCGACACGTCCTTGGAGATGGCGGACTAACCTAGGCGCAACGCAGCCGTTCTGGGAAGGCTGGTTTGTCGGTCTGAGCAAGAAATTCCTCGAGGCTAGAGGAGGAAAACTGCTTCTGCTAGCTGGGACGGATCGACTTGACACCGAGTTGACTATCGGTCAGATGCAAGGTATGTCGGCGTTATTCAGTGACACCCCTTGAGACATTGTGTAGGTACTTACTAGAGTGTGTGCACAGGGAAATACGCCTTGCAAGTCTTTCCGGAAGCGGGCCACTTCATTCATGAAGATTTGCCAGAGAAGACGGCTGTGTCGCTGGTGGACTTTTACCGCCGAAACGACCGAAGCACTCTCGTATTGCCCCCCAAGGTGTCGGAGCTGCTCAAGCAAGGGAAGAGGGTATGATGTGCAGTCATAGTCACAGCCACGAAAAGGCCTGGGCTCCTTTCAACCAACATGCGTGCGTATTTCTCGAGTACGTATTCGCACTGGCTGTAGGGCTGCGCTATGAATCCGGACCCTCGGAAGAGGAGCGACCAACAAGCCGGGGTCAGGGTAGAGCTGTGGGTGGGCATCGGCATCCATGGATGGGTAACACAATGGCATGCAGGTGCAGGCAGCATCACGTACATGTTGACGGGTGGCACCAGCTGCATTATGTTCTTCCTTGGGCGACCGTGACGAGTTTCTGATGGGTGCCGTGCCGGGGACAAGACAGGAGGATCCGCGAGAGGAGGCGTCTATTGAGCAAGGGGCTAGGTACATGTAGTCGTTTGATTGTCATCCATGGAACTGGGCTGGACCCGAGATAGAAGCGAGCTGGCGCTTATAGACTGAGGAATAGCAGAGAGTTGTTATTGTCAATATTTGAAGATGGTATAGTTTAAGGCTTGGCATGGGCTGCATACTTATTTGTGATTTAAATGTCGTTGAACGCAAGCCTGCATTATTGAGGCATCCATGGCTGCTATTGAGACGCCATCGTCAGTGGGGAAATTGGCCTTGACTGGGACATGTCCTCGTGGACAGACATACTTCCCATCCAATGTGTGCTTCTTATTGATTCCAAGGTTTGATCTCTTATTCATGGATGACAATCCTACCCAACAATTCAAACCACCACGTACGTAAACTGTAATTCCTTGTTCAACCCTGTTGAACTTTGTCGTACTCGCTGCAATCTCGTTGCTACTTGACTTTATGTGCCGGCAGCAAATCTCCCGGTCTAGAACCCGTGGAATTGCGACGAGGCGGCGATTGGCTGGGTTTTTTGGACAATGATTGGGGAATGGCGCGTTTTAGGCCCATGATCCATGATTTCCGGGGTTGGCCTTATAATTAACCGTCGCCCTGCAGCTAGCTGCTGGGACCTTCCGATGACCCCGAAGGACCGAAGGCTGATGCTCTCAACAACCTTGTTTTGAAGCATACAAAAAGCCCAAGCTCTCTCGTTGCTGTCGCTGCTCAATTCTGCTCTCTAACAAAGACATCGTCATCTGCACGGTTCGCAATCTGTTCATCATGAAGTCTACACTCTTCATCGCCGCCCTCTTCGCGGGTCTCGCGTCTGCTCAGCAGGATAAGCTCCCTACATGCGCTGTACGTGCCCCCTAGCCACGACCGCAATCTCACCGCTCGTCGCGTGGAAAATCGCCATTGCAAGCTGTGTATCCCTTTGTTTACTAATTTTTGGCTATAGCAACCCTGTGTCGACAAGTATACCACGGGCAAGGGCATCGCCGGATGTGGTCAGTTCGACTTCAAGTGCATCTGCAGCAACGAGAGCTTCCTCGACGGTATCGCGTGCTGTCTCGAGGGCGAGTGCGACGACAAGGGAAAGCAGGCTGCGGTCGACTACGCGAAGAAGATTTGTTCCACCTCGGGCGTTGATGTTCCTGATGAGGTGGTTTGCAAGGACTCGGCCAAGGAGAGTGCGAATACGAGCGCGAGCGCCGCGAGCGCCAGTGGTAGCAACACTGCCGCCAGCGACACCGCCAGTGGTACTGCCAGTGGTACTGCTGCGGCTACAACCGAGACCGGCACCTCGACAGAGACCAGCGGTAGCGGTGCTGCTGAGACCAGCTCCGCTGATAGCGGCAACGGTGCTTCGCGTGGAACAGCGGCTGGACTTCTGGGTGCCGTCATGATGGCTCTCGCTCTGTAAGGGATAAGCATATACAGATCGAATGGATATTGCTTGGGATTGGTAGTGGAAGTTGTTTGAAGAGAGGGAACATGTTTAACGAAAAGAAGGGGTAATACTATCGACGGCGACGGGAGAGTGAGCTTCTTCTTTGCAACATCGAGTTTACAGAGCCAGTCATGTATACCGGAGAGACTATACGGTTGCCGCAAGGCCACCTTTAATTACGAATGGATTTACGTTGAAGACACATGGACTTGGGTTACGTTTTGTTATGCTTTGCACTGGGATATCGTGAACATGATCAAATTAGCAACACGGCAGAGGATCATAAAGAGATGAGGGTATATCGTAGGTGATATGAAGAATATACTACAGAGCCCCAATATGTCGGTCTGGTGGGTTGCTTATAACTCTTTCATCTCCTGATCTATGGCGAGGCATGTCCACACCTTGCACGTTCAACCAGCACTTACACCACAACCATGACACCATTTCTTATCCGCAACTCACCCCTGTTCGGCCCTATCGATAACTCTCCCAATTTATCCATTTCGCCGAGTCAACCTGGAGAGAAGCAGGCCTCATGCTGGCAAGACTGGTTAAAGGCCCCACCAAAGGTCCCTGGGCCAAAGAGAGCAACGCCAATGGGTTCCTGGGACCTGAAGAGACGACCCCGCCAACAACGTCACTAGAAAGAGGGTAAGAAGTGGTGGGCAACCCCACCAACCCAAACAGTCTCTGACCATGAAGTCACCTCTTATTCTCTCTCCACCATCATACCTCCGTCTCCCTCTCGCCAGCTGACCGTAGACGCCCTCAACAATGGCTCCCAAGACCATCATCGCGCCCTCCATCCTGTCGGCTGACTTTGCTCAGTTCGGCCATGACTGCGCTCGCACCATGGAGCAGGGCGCCGACTGGCTGCACGTCGACATCATGTAAGTGCGCCTCCATGGCGGACGAGTATCTTGTCATGCGATCGAGTGCTGACTGTCGAGATAGGGACGGTCACTTTGTCCCCAACATCACCTTTGGACCTCCCGTCGTCGCCTCGATCCGAGGCCACGTCGACCAGCCCACCGAGGCTCTTGGCAGAGGCACCTTTGACTGCCACATGATGATTGCAGAGGTAAACAGCACTCTCTCGGTGTTGGATGGAGTATGGACAGGGGCTAATTATGGGGACATTAGCCCAAGAAATGGGTCAAGGAGTTCAAGAAGGCCGGATGCAACCTCTACTGCTTCCACTACGAAGCCGCCTTTTCCAGCGATGCCGAGAGCCCCGAGCAGAAGACCGACGACAAGACCAACCCCAAGGCCCTGATCCGATATATCCACGACAACGGTCTGCTTGCTGGTATCGCTATCAAGCCTGATACCTCTGTCGACGTGCTGTGGGAGATTCTGGAGAACGCTAAGGAACAGGAACGACCTGATGTAAGCTCTCGCCTGGATGGCTGTTACGGGAGAGATATTGACATGGAGTGACAGATGGTTCTGATCATGACGGTTTACCCCGGTTTCGGCGGACAAAAGTTCATGGCTTCCGAGCTTCCCAAGGTCCAGGCTCTCCGAGAAAAGTACCCCGAGCTCAACATCGAAGTCGACGGCGGTCTGGGCCCCGGCACGATCGACCAGGCCGCGGATGCCGGTGCCAACGTCATCGTGGCCGGCAGCGCCGTGTTCGGAGCCAAGGACCCCTCCGAGGTCATCTCGCTGCTGCGCAAGTCGGTGGATGACCGCAAGGCAAAGTAAGTTGGGGGTGTTTATGGCGTGTGGGTAGCGATTTATAGACGGGAGTTGAGCGATGATGTATGTGATGAGAGATGATTATACGCGAAAAAGTTGATTATTCTAGGAATTCTTGGAGAATAGATTCCAGTCTGCCTACTGTTGAGTCTCTGACTTTGTTTCCTAGTGTTTCCTTTCATCCCATCTCCCTGCTTTGATCGACTCTTTCGGTATGATGTTGCCTATTCGAGCTTATTGGTAAACTAAGCGCCAGCCTCGGCGGCTCTACGTTTGTCTTGGAGTTGGATCCTTTTCATCTCAGCCATGAGTCTACCAATGTTGTGCAGGCGTCTAGGTGCATAATCCATGCATAATCCACTGTGCATTATGGTGGTTCAGGCGATCAGATAAAGGCGGTGGAGCTCTCGAATCATCATCATGGGAGCTCCGTGTCAGCGCCCGTGGCGGCTCCAAGAGAGTACAACTCTGTGCAGCAAACAGAGACACTGCAAACGGCAATTGACCTGTAATATGTAGGAAATCGACCTTCAGAGACATTTTTAACAAAATTAAATCGTGAATTGACAGAAAAATCTTGTGGCTGCCCCTCCCAGCCCGTGTATTTTTCCAATGCGACTGACAGACGCAGGGTACAAGGGCCGCGCGCGAACCGCCCATGGGATGATGGGTCGATTTTCGGAGCCAGAATTTTTATAGATTGGCGACGTCAGCCCATCTTTTTGCGACTTCGCACACTCCCAACACTCGGAAATTCTTGTCCTCCAAAACTCTTTCCTCTGCACAATTTCTGGTTGCAAAGAGTCAATTGCCCAGGGACAAGATGAAGAGAAAGGCAGGCTCCCGCGCCGATGCCTCGGCCGCCATCAGCAAGAAGCCCAAGCCTTGTGCGCATTCCCAATTGCTCCCCCCCCAACGCAGAACTGACTTTGACGGTGTAGCTCTCAGCGCAGAGGTGGCCAAGGAGCGCTTCCGTGCTGGACTCTTTGACAAGGACGTGCTCAACTCGTACACGGAGCAGTACGCCGAGTCTGCGCCCTACAAGCATGCCGTCATCAACGGCCTCGTCAACGACGAGCTCCTCCGGTCGGTGCGCGCCGAGATCAAGGCCAACGTCGAGTTCACCCCCAAGGAGACCGACATCTACAAGATCCACCAGTCGGGCGACCTGGCCAACCTCGACGGCCTCGACGACGAGTCCCTGTCCAAGCTCCCCTCGCTGCTCAAGCTCCGCGACGCCATCTACTCCGAGTCCTTCCGCGACTACGTCTCCCACATCACCGCCTGCGGTCCCCTGAGCGGCCGCAAGACCGATATGGCCATCAACATCTACACACCCGGTTGCTACCTGCTCTGCCACGACGATGTCATCGGCAGTCGCCGCGTGAGCTACATCCTCTACCTCGTCGACCCCGATAACACTTGGAAGCCCGAGTGGGGAGGTGCTCTCCGCCTCTTCCCCATCCAGGAGCTCACGGACAAGCACGGTGAGGTCGCCAAGACCCCTCTGCCCGATGTCACAAAAGTCATTCCCCCGGCATGGAACCAGCTGAGTTTCTTCGCTGTTCAGCCTGGTGAGAGTTTCCACGACGTCGAGGAGGTCTACCACGCCGAGACCAAGAAGCAGCTCGAGAAGGATGGCGGCCGTGTTCGCATGGCCATCAGCGGCTGGTTCCACATCCCCCAGCTCGGCGAGGAGGGCTACATCGAGGGCGAGGAGGAGAGGAACGCAAAGAACAGCGGCCTCATGCAGCTGCAGGGCAACCCAGCTCAATACGACATGCCTCAGCCCTTGGTTATCAAGGTTGATAGCTCGCAGATGGGCCAGGAGGGCTTCGATGAGGCTGATCTCGAGTTTCTGCTCAAGTACCTCTCGCCGACGTACCTGGTGCCTGACACCCTGGACCAGATCTCATCGCACTTTAACGAGGTGTTTGAGATCACCCTGACCGACATTCTCTGCAAAAAGTTTGCCAAGCGCCTCAGGGCCTATGTTGAAGCTGAGGAGAAGAAGCCCACACCAGAGGACACTCCCACGATAGAAAAGACGTCGTCGTGGCGTGTCGCGAAGCCTCCTCACAAGTACCGCTACCTCTATCAGCAACCCAGCGGCCCTGACCAGCTGCGCACTTCCCAGGAAGAGTCGCCCATCACGGAGCTTCTCGACATATTCCTCCCCAGTCGTCAATTCCGCCAATGGCTCCAGATGGCGACCAACACCACCATTGAGAGCGCGGATCTCCTAGCTCGTCGCTTCCGCCGAGGACTGGACTATACCCTGGCTACCGGCCACGAGGGCAAGGCGCGCGTCGAGATTAACCTGGGCTTCACCCCTACCCCTGGTTGGGGCGACGATGAGGAAGAGGAGGAGGAAAATGAAGAAGCCGAGAAGAAGGGTAAAGAGGCCAAGACTAATGGTAAGGGTAAGGGTAAGGCCGTTGAGAAGGATGAGCCTGCACCCAAGGAGGCCGACGAGGTTGGTGGCCAGGAGATCTTCATGTCTGGCGACAACGACGCCGATGAGGATGCTGCCGTGTACCAGACAGGCAACGACGACGACAACATCCTCTTTTTTCAGGCTGCTGCTTGGAACAAGATGACCATCGTCCTGCGCGACAGCGGCGCCCTCAAGTTCATCAAGTACGTCAGCAAGAGCGCCAAGGGTGACCGATGGGACATCTCGGGCGCCTTTGAGATTGAGGAGCAGGAGGACAGTGACGATGAGAATGCCGACGCTGACGAGGGTCCTGCACCGGACGAGTCTGAGGAGGAGGAGTTTCAGGGCTTCTCGCCCGACGTGCAGAGCGATTCTGACTAAAGTGAAATGTCTGCAATATCGCGATGATAGATACCATGAAATAAAAAGCAAGGCAATGATTGATTTTGATTCGATTTTGAAAATGTTTGTATTTCCCACCTATCCAATTTGATGGTGCTCTTCGTGATAGACTCCGACTCATGGTATCGTAAAATGTCAGCTCTATGAACTGGTAATCGCTGTTCCCAAAATCCTTCTATGGTACAAGAGTTCTCTTTAGAACTCGGTCTGGCGCACATCCCTATCCGCGCGTAACTAGGCACTGATGAATCAATTGCCTTTCATCTCCTTGACTGCTTGCCTCAGCTAGGAGCTTCCTACCCAACGCCCGCCGAAGCACAGCGGCGACTGTTGCTCAAGAGATGTGGGTGTATGCTTAAGAGGTATGGTTGTTATTCAGCCTTATTATATAGAGGCAGATATCCTGTATCATCCTCAAGCTGGCTCCAACTTGTCGTTGAACAGGTTTGCAACCTCCGCCTGCAACAACTCTGTCACCCCCTGAGCCTCCTGGGTCCTTCCCGACTGAGTCAAGTGATTGACGGTGTCATGTCCAAGGAACGCAAGCCAGGAGACGACACTTAACTTCTCAGGTCTCGACTTCTTGGGCCCGACAGCATGTACTAGCCTCCGTAGTCTCTCCTTGTCCTTGAAGAACTGGAGCGCCGGTACGTGGTCGGGATGTGTTGGGTGATAGAGGTGAAGATGAGCTCGCTCCATGAGGAATGGCTGCGGTAGACGATCAGCCGTGGCGATGTGGGCGTCAAAGAGCTCTTCGGATGGCGCGGGACGGCTGTAGGCCTCGACTGTGGAGAACCACGAGACAGATCTCCACGAGGAGACCAGCAGGTCCGAGAGCAGAGGACTGGCTCTGAACATTTCCTGCGCTTGCAGCATGGTGGAAATGCCCGAATCGAGGTTGCCGTACTGGGGTTGGCATTTTGTCCGGACAAGCTCGCCCAGAAGATGAGATGCTCTCTTCAGGCGCTTCTCCTTAGATAGCTTGCTAGAAGGATCGTAGATTGTTCGCGACAACCACTCCCAGGCTACTTCCTCCATGCCCTCAGCAACCAAGAATGGGGCCAATGTTCGGATAAAAGTCTGGTTGTCCATGAATCGGAGATCTTGTTCCGCGCCGCATGACTTAAGCCATCGCACAATACGCGCTGCTGTTCCTGCCGAGGCAAGACCTCCTAGGCCAGGTTCCTGTGCTTGAAGCTGCTTTGATTTGGCAACCATACAACCAATAGCCGCCTTTGGTGTCATTAATCCTCTAGCAACGGCATGATCGAAAACTTCCATGGGATCGCGTTGCGGAGCGACCAGTGCTGAAGCTGATATTTTCGTGGGGAATGTTGACGTGACATCCTTGTTATAGCTGAAGAGGGGATTCGCGAGGATATCCTTCAAATGCCGGTTGGCAGCGGATAATCGGATAGGCTTGGGAGGATCGACAGGTTTCGTGGCAGGCGGTGGGCTTTCGGAAGATTCTCCATATTCGTGATCGAGTTGTTTTCGAAAGGATGTCTTGAGACCGTCGAGTACCTTCTGAGACTGCTGTTTGGACAGGGGGAGGGGTTCGTGGTAGGAGGCGAAGAGGTTCTTGAGCGAGTTGACCGATTTGGTGGAAAACATGATGGACAAAGGTCAATTGAGATAAATTGGCAGCAATGTTGGTGGCAGGCCCTGCCCTGGGAGGAGCTGACTCGACGCAATCCACGTAATTATCGCGTACTCGGGAACGGGGTTGGTGTTTGCGATAGACGCATTGCGGTCATGCGGCCTCGACGTTCAAACATGATGCCATCGTCGAACGAGACGCCACAAAGCGGGGCGGAAAACGTGTCATGTGATGCCAGGGGCTTGTCAGCCTCAAGTGGCTTTCCTTTGGAGGAGGGGCGAATTGGAGAATGGGGATGGACGTGAAAGTGTGAACCGCCCGCTCAAGCAAGGAGCTCAGGTGGGCCCTGACGCAGCCCCCCTGGCTTGAAATTTGGACCGTCACCCAAGTACTGAGACATTCCTGGCCACCTGGCCTGTCTCTGGCGTTGCCTGGCGGATGCGGCCTGTTGGGTACCGATACCTGAGCCAGAGACAGCCGCACCGCACACAGCCTTGAAGCGCAAACAGCCGGCGTGCGTGATAGGACTGGAGCGACAGCTACCGAAGTCGCTGAGATACGCGGCACCCTAAAATGACGAGACGCGGGCAGATCCAATGGTCGCAATCTCATGGGCGCAATAACAGGGCAGCAAGGCCTCAATTGAAGCAAGGAGTCGGCAGAGTCCCAGAGGAGGAAGGCGAGACCTCGCTGCATCAACTTGGCATATCTTTTCCCTGCGAATGCGACGCTGTCTACTCCAGCTTTGAACTCGATCCCTTTGTGTAGTAGGTGGCTGCCAGGTCTCGTGTGGGCTCTGGCTGGGGCCGGAGACGGAGAGAGCTGGCTGATCCTTGATTCGACCCTACCTGGGGCTAAACGAGCAAGGAAGGTCAAGGTTGTTGGTCTTGGTTCCAGGTTGCGTTGCGCAGGTACCTCCCGTCCGATCTCCAGGGCCGGCGGTCGTAGCGATGGAAGTGGCACAAGACGGACGGCAGCGGCAACGCGACGCAACGGGCAAGCATAGACTCTCGCTCTTGAGGATGAGAGGTTCCCGTCAGGTACCCATGGTTGCGCCACCTGGCAAACACGTCCAGGGCGATCTGCTTCCGGTCAGGGCAAGCGTCGAAGCCGACGGCTTCAATTGGGCAGAATGCCAAGCTGGCCAACTCTGGACGCGATCAGTTGAGTCGAGTGCCACCACCGAGGCATTCGATTGAGCCACCCACTGTAAGAGGGCTGAGCGACAGCGCAAGTGGGCGCGGTTGTCGCCTGAGTCGACGTGTTACCAAGGGGCGCCAGGGCCTGAATGACTGGGAGGGGCACTAACCTTTGCAGCACAGTACGGTACAGGCAGCCCAGGTCTCAGACTGGGACTGGGACTGGGACTGGGGCGTCACCACGGGCCAGCCGCTAGAGGCAAAACCTTCGTAACCTGAACCTTTCTTCTGCCTCTGGGGAAAACCTCGTGCCTCTTTCTCCTCTTCCTCTTCCTCTCCCTTTGCCCAGAACCTTCCACACTTTTTCTCCATCTCCCGGCCTCTCCTTCATCGACGCCTTCACTTGTCGACCACGGATTCACGGTCGACCCCTTCCTCCCACCTGCCTGTTGCTCCCGCAGAGGACAGCTGACAGGCCTTTTTCCCTTCCATTGTTTTCCTCTCTCCACACTTTGAGCCTAGCTCTCCTCCTCCCACCACACACTGCATACCTACGCACACTCAGCTCATAACCAACCACAACAAACCCATCTAATGTCCGAAGTGACTTCACGGACGTCCGCCTCGCGCGGCAGAGGCTCCGGCCGTGGTGGTAGAGGAGGTTTCGCTGGTCGAGGCGGCCGTAGACCCAATGGCGACAAGGCCGACTACAAAGCCGACGACTCGCAGGCTGCATTTGAAGACGAAGGCGACTTTGGCGAGCTTCGAAAGCAATACGGCGACAAGACATCGGTAATCCGCGAGATGTTCCCTGACTGGTCCGAGGCCGATGTCCTATTCGCTCTCCAGGAGACCAACGGCGACGAGAACGAAGCCGTCACTCGCATCGCTGAGGGTATGTGTGGCCTTTTTTCCTGCCCTGCCTTGTCCTCTCTCACCGCACGCGGCCACGCTACACATCCACAAACTGCTAGAAGTCGCTGCGCGCCCCACGCCCTCGCCCTTGAACCCACCACTCATGCTGATCCTGCTGCTAATCTGCGATCGTCATAGGTACCATTTCGCAATGGGGCGAGGTCTCAAAGCCCAAGAAGGCTTCCCGAGCCAAGGCCAAGGAGCAAGCTCCTGCGCCTTCGAACGACGCGACGTCTACCGGTCCTCGAGCCGCCCGCGGCGGTCGTGCTGTATCTGAGGGACGCGGCCGAGGTCGAGCTACGGATCGAGGGGGTCGCAGCACTCGCGGCCGATCTGCCCAAGCTGCTCCTACCAACGGCGCCCGAACCAAGGAGAATCAGCAATTGTCCATCCCCACAGAGGAGTCATCTGCTTGGGGCAGTAACGAACCCAAGGGTGAGGTCTCAGAGGAGAAGGAAGTTCTGTCCGAGAAGCCCACACCCCCTGCGAATGTCGAGGCCCCGAAGCCTACTGCTCCTCCGGTCAAGACATGGGCGAGCATGTTGCGACAGTCGACCGTTCCCAAGGCCCCGCCTAAGCCAAAGGAAGCTCCTGCGCCTAAGCCCGCCCCCGAGCCCGTTGAACCTGAATCTGTTCCCGAACCTGTCGAACCCGAGCCTGAGCCTGAGGTCGCCCCCGAGCCCGAGCCCGCACCTGCCCCTGCTGTTGCCGAACCTGACGAAACCACCCCCGTTGCCGATACCGTTCCTCCCTCCGAAATTCCTCATGTCGTAGAGCCCGAGGTGGCTCTACTCCCCTCCAAGGACGAGCTCACCGAAACAAATCTTGAACAGGTTGTTGACGACTCTAAGCCAGCTCCAACTGGTACCGCAGCAAGCACCGCCGCTGACTCTTGGGACCCTCGACAGAACCCCGCCAGTGTTACTGCTACACCTATCTCGGCTGCTCAACAGCAGCACATCCCCCCACGACCTGATGCCAGCGGTTTCGCCGCCTCTGCCGCCAAGGCTACCGCTGAACGCACCGCCCGTACTCCTAGCCATCATCATCACCACCAACGACGTGTGCTTGACCAGGAGGAAGCTGTGCGAATGCCCGGCAACCGTGAGGTTGACCGCGCCGCTGTCCAATTTGGAGCTTTCAACTTGGCCGATGCCGACGAAGACATTGATGGTGACCGAGAGGAGCCCGAGACTCGGGCTCAGCCCCCTGCTGATTCCCCTGTTGCTCACCCTCGAACCTCCCTTCCTCCTGCTACTCAGGCTGCTGTCCCCGAATCTTTTGCTCAGAAGCCTGCTTCTACTGTGACCCCCATTGCGGCCCCGACTGGTATGCTCTCTGACTCTTGTTCGAGCCTTAGCCTCGATGCTAATACCTCTACAGCACCCGCTTCGCAGACCCAGGCTCCGGCTCAGGTCCAGGTACCTGGCCAGGCTCCCGCCTCTAACGCTCAGCAGTTCGGTCGCTTCGGCCAGGCCGGTGCTCAGGAGGCCGCCGCAGCTCCCCAGAAGCCTCTGGATCCTTTCAACCAGCAGAGCACCCCCTCTTCTCAGCCTCCGTTCGACAACTTCCCCACGCAGACCTCTCAGCCCCAGCAGCCTGGTGGCGCCTTCAGCTCTGCGCCCAGCGACTACGGCTCATACTACACTGCCAACCAACCCGATCGCAACGCTACCTACGCGTACTACAACCAGCAATTTGGCCAGCAAGGACAGGGACAGCAGGATGCCACTGCCTCCCAGCAGCGACCTTTTGCCGGTTACGGAGCATCTCAGGCTGATAACCTCAGCCAGTATCCTCAGAGCGGCGCGCTGCACAACCAGCCCCGATTTGGCGGAAGTGCGGCCGATGCCCAGAACAGCGGCAACAGCACCCCTAACCCCACGACTCAGGCTCAGCAACAGCAGCAGCCTCAGCAGCCTGCCCAACAGCAGCCTGCCCAGGGATCGCAGCCGCAATCACACGGCCAGCAGTATCCCGGCTACAACCATCCCTATTACAACAGCCCTTATTACCACCAGTACTATTCTGGATACGGCCAGGGCGGATTTGGCCCCTACGGAAAGAGTGGCATGTATGGACAGCCGTACGGCATGTCGCCTAACGCGCCTTATGACCATACGTCGTCCCCTGCTGGATTTGGCCAATCTTCTCTGCACCGCGATAGTGGCCTGGGCTCTGGCCTTGGTGACTATGGCCGTGTTGCTACCAGCCAGGCTGGCAGCCAGCCCGGTCTCGGAGGAAGCGCATTTGGTAGTGTTCACGACAGCTTTGGACGCAGCGCCTCTTCGTTCCAGTCTCAGGGACAGTCGTTCAACAGCCAGACACAGCCTGGCAACGCTGGTTCGACTGATGAGCTGAAGCCGTTTGGCGAGACCAAGACGGCTGCAGGCCCATCCCCCTCGCTCGGCGGAGCTCGCCCCGGATCGGCCACCAATGCCCCGGCCGCTCAGGCCGGTCTCCCCCCGCCCCAGAACTCTCAGATGGGCGGCTACGGTGCTGGATACCCCAGCCACCTCCAGGGCCATGGTCTGCACGGCAGCAACGCGTACGGTATGGGGGGTAACGCGGGTGCCAGCCAACAGCATGGCAACAGCCCCTACGGATCTTACGGTCAGGGCTTCGGCAGCGGCTACTACGGCGGTGGCCAGCAACAGCAGCAGCAGCAACAGCAGCGCGGCTGGGGTGGTAACTACCACTAGAGGAATATGGAGTACGCCCAGTTATTGAGGAACGCATTGGAGGAAGCGGGCGTAGAGGACGACGACGATGACGCATAATCAACATGATGCATGGGGCTCACGGGGTAGGGCAAGGCATGGCATGGCATGGTAAAGCAAGGCAAGGCAGGGCAAGGCGAATATTCTCTCAACACTCCTCGATGTGTCTACGTGTACGATTGTTTTCTTTTTTTCGAGAATCACCTCAAAAGATCAAGGTGGCATATGGCAAATGGAAGGGAAAGGCAGGGCGTTCGTTTCCGCCATGGTCTTTATTTGTTTTTTCTCGCGGTGCTCTGCCGGACCGGAATCAAACAACAACAACAAGAACGAACTGGGATTGCGCGTGTCTTTTAGTGTCCTCCCCTCGCAACGGTCTGCTTGCTTGCTTCTTTTGATATTTGGTTGTTTTCGGGGGGAGGGTTGCAACAACAAGCAAGGCAAGGCAAGGGCTGGATTTGTTAATTGGGAGACGGGGGGTTATAGTTCCTTTGCGGTCTGTATTCTTTTGAACCGGAGTGGAGGCGAGAAGGGAAAAGGGCGTGGACTTGGGCGTGCAAGGGATGGATGGATGGATATGAATGGGCTGGAATGAATGAGATGTGACGATATGAGTGGAATGGCAGGATAGGACATTCGCCAGAGACACGAACCCGAAGCAACGTGAAGGGAAGCGAAACCAAGCGAAGCAAAGGGATTGAGATTGAGAGATGCTCTGATTATGGGCTCGAATCCAATGAAGTCAATGAAAACCAGAAAACTTGATGGAGAAGAAGGAAGTCAGTTCTCGTGATTGACGCGTGATGATGATGTTGTCCAAGTCGGAGTTGTGATATAAAACCGAGGAGACAGGATCAATGCTTTGAAATCAAGGTCGTCTTGGGCGTTGGTGTGTAACCCGAACCGCTGATGGTGTAGGGAGCTACTGCAGTCGAGTTGAAAGCCACGATGAGTCAAGAGACGTCAAGAGTGGGAGTTGATCATGTTTTATCGCGACAATTGACTCTTGTCTGCCGACATGGGTTGCCGAGACTGACTCGAACAGATCTAGCTGACTCCTAGCGGGGGGATAATACAGAATAGAGAAACGTCACAGGACCATCAGCCCTACCTCTTTGTCTGTTTTTGACCCAAGAAAGATGGCTGGCTTCGGAAGCAAAACCCGGCTGTTGTGTTTCCCCAGGGGTCTATGAAGCGGGGGGGGGTCATCATCTCCATACCGCCAAGTTGGAGTAGTCTCAGTTCCCCGGCCGGATAGAGTTGCCAATGCAGCTGCTGTGCTATCTTGTGATGACTTGGATGCCTTCTCGGAGTTACGAGGATACACCACCACCAGTCAATGGGAAGAGGAAGAAGCTGTGCCTCAAGTGTCTTTCATCTTGGTGGTGGAGGAATTGGCCCTCCCCCGGGAATAATTAACCAAATCAAATCAAAGGCCTGCAAGATTTCGCCATCCTTTCGCCTAATGACCTCCGACCTTGTTATGCCCCCACAGGCAAAGAAGGGAAAAATGCATGCGATTGGGGGCATTCTTGGCAAAAAAACTTGTGGTGGTGGTTGTTTTGTGACATATATTAACCTGACGCCCTGCCACCCACGTTCTCTCACCGGTTCGTGTTGAGAGATATGAGACGCTTGTAATGAGAAGTTGGTTTTTCTTGTTCTTCAATTGACTCGTTGAGACTGTTCTTGGATAATTAACGAGTTGTTGAAGAGTGATTGACGCTCAACATCATGACGGGTCACGACGGTGAGAAGGCCGAGATCGGGGTCAGCTCTGCGACGGATGCTGGTGTCTCGGGAGAGCAAAACAATGAAAAGACGCCACAGACTCGGACGAGTCTCTCCCGCGACAATGATAATCTCAACGACATTGTTGATGCTAGCACAATTGGCAACGACGATGAAAACGACAACGACTCGATCGACTCCAAGAACGAACTTACTCTGTCCAAGGCGCGCTGCATCGCTCTTGTCACGACCGTGACGGGAGCATCTTTTCTCAACGTGAGTGTACTTGAAACAATAGCCTCAAGTTCTCATTGACAATATTTTAGACCCTCGCCAGTCAGAGCGTCGTCATCATCCTCCCCCAGATTGGCAAAGCCCTCGACGTCCCCGACACACGCCAACAATGGATCGTGTCCTCTTACGTCCTCACCTTTGGATGCTTCCTCCTCCTCTGGGGCCGCATCGCAGACATTTACGGCAAGCGTCTCATCTTTATCCTCGGATCCTTCTGGGTTACTATCTGCTGCGTCGTCAACGCCTTTATCCCGACTGAGATTGCGTTTGACCTGTTTCGAGGACTGCATGGCTTGGTGAGTTACTTGTGATGGACTTGAGATGGATAAACTGACGAGTTAGGGTGCTGCTGCGAATGTTCCGACTGCTATTGGTATCCTAGGTACTACGTTTCCCCCTGGAAAAGCAAAGAACTATGCCTTTAGCGCATATGGTGAGTCTCATTCTTTACTTGAACACGGGCATTGATTGACACTCTGCAGCCGCTGGAGCTCCTCTCGGCAGCGTCTGCGGTAACCTCGTCTCGGGCCTCATCGCCGAGTGGGCGAGCTGGAAATGGGTCTTTGGCGCCCTCGCCATCATGGCCGGTCTCATCTCCGTTGCTGGCGTTCTGTTCATCCCGCCTCCTCCTCCCGGACTCCGGCCCGTTCACGATAACCTCCGGGCCAAGACGGCAGCTGTTGACTGGATTGGCGCTACCCTTATTACCTGCGGTCTCCTGGCCCTCATGTTCGCCTTGACCGAGGGCAACGTGGTTGGGTGGACGGCCCCGTGGATCCCCGTCCTCATCGTCGTGTCGGTGCTTATTATCGTTGCCTTTTTCTTCTGGCAGCGTTATCTCGAGAACAAGACCGATCGTCCGCCCCTAGTCAAAGTGTCCATCTTCAACAACTGGCGCTTCACGTCCGTCATGTGCATCATGGGCCTCTTCTTTGGTGGTTTCAACAACTTTCTCATCTACGCCACCTACTACTTCCAAGATTACCAAGGCCTGTCCCCCTTGCAGACCATGCTACGTTTCATCCCCACTGGTGTCAGCGGCTTCATCGTTGCTTTTATAACTGCTCACCTACTTAGCCGCATCCCGACCTTTTTCATTCTCGCCATCGGGCATGTTTGTGTCTCCATCGCTGCCGTTCTCTATGCCGTGCCTATTCCTCCGACAACATCTTACTTTGCTTGGGGCATGTGGGCCATGATTCTTTCCGTTATTGGTGCTGACACAGCTTGGCCGTGTCTCACGCTCTACACCTCTCACTCACTGCCTCAAGAGGATCAAGCCATCGGCGGCGCCCTCATCAACTCGTCGGGTATGATCGGTCGAGCCATTGCGCTCGCTATTGCCACGGCGATTCAATCCTCTGTCATGGCTAGCGATCGGGGTGTCGACGTCAAGAACGTTGGGCCCGTCGAGGCCTGGGACGCGCCGTCGCTCAAGGGTCTTCGTGCAGGAGGCTGGACCAACTTTGCCATTCTGATCATGGCGTTGGGTCTGGTGGTGTTTACCTTTAGGGGTATGGAGATTATCGGAAAGATTCCTGCGAGGAGAGACCGGACTGAGGGGGTTATGAATGAGGAGACGGTAGATGTTGAGAGGAGAGGTCAACAATAAAAAAGAGATGGAGAAGAATAAGAGTCGAGATTAAGATAGGAAGACTTGGATATAATATACAAAATTGGTAAATGACCCAATTGCCTCATCTCACGTAAGACGGTGATCCAGAAAACACCGTACCCATCAATTCATCCCGTCATGCTACATAGAAAGTCGTGCTTAACCGGCCTTCAATTGCTCCGCCGGCCCCGCTCCGTCCAACAACGACCCCCGGGCCCGGATCTGCATCACGCCGAAGAGTGGGGCCGTACCTCGATTCGTCCGCCACTCGGCCGATGTGACAGAGAGCCGTTGACTTACAAAAGAAGTCTTTCGACGACTTCATTCCTTTTTACTCATACAGGCCCTCAACAGGCTTCTTTTACATACTAGAATTATGGCTGACAAGATTGACATCGTCCTCCTTGGTGCGACTGGGTACACAGGCCGTCTCTGTGCGGCTTACATGACTAAAGCCATCCCGGATACCGTTTCGTGGGCTATTGCAGGTCGAAACCAGACAAAGCTCGAGGACCTTCAGAAAGAACTCAAGGAGAAAGGAGCAACGTGTCCGTCAAACCTCGCCTCACCAAACCCTCCATCCATGCTGATTGCTCTAGGTACCGTCTACGCTCTCGACCTCGACTCTGACACTGCCATCGCTGAGCTTGCCCGGAAGGCTCGTGTTATTATTAATACTATCGGACCTTACTCTGCGACCTGTGGAACGGCTATCATCAAGGCCTGCGCTGAGAATGGGACTGATTACGTTGACTGGCAAGTATCCTTACTCACCCCTGAAGACCCCGACTTACAAAAGAAACAGCAGCGGAGAGATGCCGTGGATGCAGGGAATAATCGACAAATATGACGAAACGGCTCGTAAATCAGGCTCAAGAGTAACCCACCTCCCAACCATCCTTCTTCACGACTGACACTACTTCTAGATAGTCATGACAGCCGGCTGGGGTGCTGTACCAGCTGACCTCCCAACCTACCTCGCCGTTCGTCACATCCGCGAAAAAATGTCCCTCCCAACGCGCGAGGTTCTCGTCTCACTCGACGATCTCAAGGGCTCTTTTAGTGGCGGCAGCATTAACTCCATGTGTGACCTTGAGATGAGTTACGGCTCCGCAAGGATCGCTGCTGCTTCGGCACCTTTTGTACTATCGCCCGTGCCAAGGAACAGCACCGAAATTGCAAAACATGGCGTGCTTCCTGGGCCAAACGCATTTGGTGTTCAGTTTGTTAAAGGAATGGGCGCTCTAGTTGAGGGCTCACAGACAGGGATAGAGACGGGCATCATCGGTCGCAGTTGGGGTCTCTTCGCGGGCCAAGAGTCATACTCTCTCAGTCCAGACGGATACGGCAAGAACTTTTTCTTCTCATCGCGCGTGGGACAGTCTGGTCCGTTTACGGCCTGGCTGTTCCGCACAGGGTTTATCCTTCTTACCACTGCCATCACCAAGATCCCCCCGCTACGCAACCTAGCCACCAAAACTCTCTTTCCACCAGGGACAGGTCCGTCTGAAGAGCAGCGAAGAGGAAACCACTTTACGTACCGTGTCGTGGCCATACCTGACGAAAAAGGCACGTCACGCCGTGTCGAGGTCAGGTTTGCTTACCAAGGAGACCCATACGTCTTTACAGGCGTGTCACTGACCGAAGCGGCACTTGTGTTGCTTGAAGGCGGTACACCAGCTCATCAACGTGGAGGTATCTTGACGTCGGCCATGCTGGGTGACAAGTTTGTCGAGAGGTTGAAGCAGCCACAGGTAGGCGTCGAGATAGAGATCAAGGTTGTGGAGGAGTAGAGTGATACGGTATTCTACTTATTAGATTGCTCTGCTATATATCGTGTATCGTGATAAGAAAATCTATGCAAACAGCCAATGAATGATGCCGCTGATCAAGTACTAACCAGCACTTGTTGTCTAGGTAAGTTATGGGTATCAAAACACCAGACAGAAACAAAAGAAGCGCCAGACAACCCCAGTCTATACATGCTACCGTCTCCTTTCCTCCTCAATGATGGTGTCCAGGTCAGGCTCGTCCTCGTCCACCGGCTCATCGCGGGACAGGCGCTGGAGGCGTTGCCGCATGGCAGGATCCTGTTCCAACTCTTGCCAAAGCTCCACGTCCCATTCCTCGATGTTGTCTCCGCGTCGACTCTGACCCCAGGGCGGCCATTGCCAAAGACCGCCGACGAGAAGAAGCCGCTTAGAGGACTTCATGACAATCTCCATGAGTCCGATGAGTCCGAGAACGATGAACAGAGTTGACCACCACACGGCGTCGTCGCCAAAAAGGTGAGTGAAGCTATTGCGTATGGCATATGGACCAGAAGGCGAGGGCGCATAAACCCCGTCAAGGAAAGCCAACCAAGCAAACCAGCCAATCGTGGTGATAAAGAAGCTTACCATGACAATCGCCGACTTGTAATGGGTTTCGAAGATACTGTGACAGTTAGCCAGTGTTCCATGTCATACTCAGAGGTTGCGTTGCTTACAATAGCTTCCAGTTGATCCATAGGACCCCAACCGAGAATGCCAGCGTTCCCAGAGCATACAGCCCCTGGTCACGCGCAGACGGTGAGATCCATCCATAGCCAGTCCAGACACCGTACCAAGCAATGACTCCTTCGACGGCTCCGAGAAGCATCCACCGGGCAAACTTGCCGATATTCAGACCCATGTTGCGCTGGCCGAAAACGTAGAGCTCGGGGACAGCCAAGAGCGTTTCGGCGCTGAGGTCCTGCTCCCAGATTCCCATACAGATAACGGCCAGACTGGTGAATAAAGTGTTGAAGACAGTCAAGCTCGTGGCTTCGTACAGAGAGGTACCGCTGTAGCCAGTGTATCTCTGATACTGCGCCGTGGGTAGATAGAAAAACATTTCCTTCCAGAACGTATAAAGAATGAACTTGGCGGTGCGAACATAGTTCCATCGCCCGTGAACAAGCAACAGCCGCTGCAGGAACCGGAACTGAGCAATGGCGTAGTCTGCCACACGAGCAGCCTGAAGACCTTCCTTGCCCGAAATACCAATGCCGACGTGGCTTGCCGATATCATGGCCAAGTCGTTTGCGCCGTCGCCAATCGCTAGAGTGAGTCCTCGTCTCTTCTTTCCTCGGAACGACTTGAGGCGAGACCTGACAGTTCGGACAAGGAGTGCCTTTTGGGCCGGTGATGCTCGACAGCAGATGACCGAGTCGACTTGCAGCATGACCTTAAAGAACTGAACAGACAACTCGGGTGATTTCTCCACGGCTGCAAGCGTCTGGCCGTCGATAACAACCACGCTGTGAATCGAACCAGCCTGAAGATCCTCAGACAAGGCAACCAACTGAGAATCCAGGCCACCCTTGCTGACATCGAGAATGTACAAATCAGAGCCAGGCTTGCAGATTCGAGCAGAGTGCGCAATGTTGATAGCCGTCTCCCGCTTATCGCCCGTCAGCATCCAGATCTTGATGTTGGCCCTGCGTAGCCTGTCGATAGTTTCAGGAACTCCCTTCTGCAGTTTGTCCTCGATGGCAGTTGCGCCGACCAGATCGAAGGCCTGTTCAATCATGTCACCAGCCTCCTCAATGCGCTCCTTACGGTTGTTGAGACTGGTTGAGGCTTCGTCCCAGACCTTCTTCCATGTCTTGTATTCCTGCTCCGAGATGAACTTTTGCGCAAACATCAGAGTGCGCAGTCCCTCAGTTGCAAAGTCATCCAGATGCTTGAAGCACTTTGTGAAGGTCTCCGAGTCATCAAGAATGATCGGATCGTCTAGGAAGGCCAAGTGATCGGGCAAGGGTTGCTGATAGTGGACTGGAGTATTCAAATACTGACCCCTGGGTGCGTCGATTGACACCCCGCGAGCCGCAATAGACAGGCGAGGCCTATCCTCTGAGCGACGGGCAAGTCTGCTGAACTCGAAGGACTTGCTTCTGTCCGTCTTAGGCCGTCTGCTGGTGCTTCTATCCCTAGAGATGCCCGGGTTCCGGCGAACTGTAAGACTGGGCCTGCCGCCGAAACTGTTCCGAGGCTCCTGTTGCTCGCTTCGTCGGTACATCTCGCGTTCTAGATCAGCACTCTTCCGCACTTCGGTCGCCTTTTGCTTAGCGAGCTGCGACATCTTAAGCCGGGGAAGAATAGCCGAGTCAGCACCCTTGCAGATAACCGAGATACGTCCATCAGGGAAACGGACGATGATGGACATCTTCTTTCGTGCGCTGGTGAATTCGATAACATCTAAGACCTCGTATTTGAGCTCCTCCTCTTGACCATCAGGGTGAGTGATATGCAACGTAATCGTTTGAGTCGTACGGTTGATGACGAGATAACCAAGTTCTTGAGCCGCTCTCACGAGAGCGAGCTCATCCGGAGATGCAGCCTGGAACTCCAACTCGCCATTCTCTTTGTGTTCTGGCAGACAAGTGTGGCATAGTGCTACCGCCAAGATATACTGTTTTGCTTTTCTGGCGAATCCTGAGTTAGGTCGAAGACGGATGTACTCGATAAGATCGTTTGTTGTCACATCGGGCTGGACATGATCCGGACGTCCGGTTGAGCGCCATTGGGATGATGATCTGCGGCTGCCAAACGACATCCTAGAAGGTGCCATTGAAGGCCTCGAGGGGGCCATGGAAGGGCGACGTGACATGGATGGCCGAGGTGACAGGGGCGGGTGAGATGGAGACGCAAGCGGCAACGGCGAAGTCGGCTCCTGGAGCTCCTCCCTAATAACAACTGTAACAGGTTCAGTTTTGTAGACAGACGGTTCGCTGGTTGATGAGTCTTCGTCGCCCAACTTGGCGGCTTCAATCTCATCGACCTTGGACTCAAGATCCATCTCATGAAGCCAGACCGTTCCTGCAACACTGATCTTACGGAACTTCATAACGTTGTCCGTCAGAGTTCCCGTCTTGTCTGAAAAGACATAGCCGACCTGTCCAAGATTCTCGAGAATAGTGTTGGTGTTGCAGCGCGCAGGGGTGTCCGTCTCCTCATCGTACATCTCAATATCCGAGTTGAGCATCAGGAGCTGCCCAATCTTGACAATTTCTAGACTGATGTACAAGGCCAGCGGGACGACGTTGTTGAACATGATGATAAAGGCAATGATGATCTGGTAGAAGGGCACCTTGGCGTGCTCCAAATACCACGAATGCCTCTCGGTGCTCTTTTGCCATCTGAGATATCCGCCTGACACGCCTACAGAGAGCACAACGACGTAGAAGGCGAGAGTGACGACAATCTTGTTGTTGATACGCTCGAGGGCCGGCTTCTTGGCTTTCGGGTGCTTGTTGGCGTTCATGCGAATCTTGCAGTCCTCTCCCGTGTTGATGACCAGGCCAATGGCAGCATTGGTGTTTCGCATGACGCAGCCTCGGTAGATGACCTCGCTCGAAGTCAATGGAACCGCCTTGCCGTTGACGGTCACGCGACCATCAAAGTTGTACAGATCAGGATTCGGATCCTCGACAACGAATTCGGCTTTGCACTTGGATATCCCCTCGAGAGTATCACAACCTTCCAAAGCGTGTGCGACCTGCTTGCTCTTGAGGTTCGTCTCGCCGTCGAGTGCCATGGTTTCGATATATGCGAGCTTGTTCTCTCCATCGCTGTCCAACAAGACAATATCGGCGGGGATAGGCTCGTCACGACACAACCTGACAATATCTCCAACCTTGATCTCACTCCATCTTACAGGAACCCATCGTAGTCCGTTGAATTCATCGTTAGGGGCGGGGTGCGGTTCGGCTGTCGAATGGATCACAAACGGGTTCCATCGTCTCCATCGAGTAATTGGCTTCAGCTTGCCCGTATATCTATCTTCTCTTCCAAGAACTGTCGCAAAGCCAGCATTCTCCAATTGATCGAGGCGATGTCGTCGGTAGTCATCGTAGCCTTCCTTGAAAATAGTCAAGAGAACAAAGAAAAGCAGCGGCAGGATGGTAGTGTAGGATCCGGTGGTCGAGAGACCCGGGATCTAGATCCAGGGGTTAGCAATGGCACCATTTCCATCATATCAAGCTAGTTTATACGCACCATCTGCGGCACACCGACGCATAGGAAGTAAAAGTTGCCGACGCGAGAGAATTGGAAAAAGAGTTGCTTGGGAAAGAAGTCCCAGACGGTATATCGCGACGTTCGGATGCTGTTGGACACGTACGAGAGGCCACGGCGGGTATCGATCAGAGGCTTGTCGTGTTCGAGCTGGAGGGGGATATGTCGTCCATCGGTGGCAGCAACGATGTGCTTACGGCGTAAGATGGGCTCGACGACGGTCTTCTGGTAGAGGGACGCGGCGGCATCCTTGACGCGACGGGCCAGCGGCGCAGAGAGACCGGCGTCGTTGCTGCTACGGCCAAAACGGCGACGGACCTTGGAGTCCCTGCCCGGCGGCTCAGGCCCTGGGCGCGCCTCCGGGTCGGAGCGGCCTGGGGACATGATGGCTGACTGGCTGGCTGGCTGATTGTCAAAAGGGGTCAAGCGAGCTGGCTGAGGCTAGTCGTGGAGGAAGGCCAAGAGCTGCAAAGGAAGCAGTTGGATGCGCGTCTTGAAACGAACGAGTGACTTGCGTGCCGTGCTCCGACTCTTGGAACTGTGACCATGACCTAATGGCCGTTGTAGGGGGAAAGACAAGCCAGGGTTTCGGCTTCTTGGAGTGGCCCGATCTCGATCTTCGTATTTTTTTTCCTTTGCCTTGCCTTGCTTGCAACGCTATGCTACGCTACGAGGAAGGGAAGGGATGAGCGAGGCGGGCGTGGCGTGGTCGGGGCTGTTTCGCCCGATGTCCGACTGGCTGGAAGCGCCGTCACTAGAGGGAGGAAAAAAAGAGTGTGATGGATAATAACGAAAGGTAGCCTCGTCCTAGGCTGATTGATGATCGTGTGCAAAGGCCATGATAATTCTCATGACGGTCTCTCGGACTCCCCGAAAACCCCAGAGTAGGTGAAAATTAGGTCGTCCCGTCAGCCGCAGGGGGAAGGGGAAGGGATGGATGGATTGGACTGGAGAGGCGAAATATGGAGTGCGTTGTACGCGCGGAACGTGGAGGGAGCGTGGAGCTGGCCTGTGATGGCGGTGGCTCAGCTCACCTCTTCCATCCAATCTTTGCTCAAAGTCTAATCCATCGTTTCCAAGATTAGATCATCATCAAGGACGTACGTTGCAAGGACCGTCTCAACGTTCTCCGTCTCCATCTTGGAGCAGAGTTACATTCAACTTCCATGACGGAACAACTGTCACCGTTATGGTGGACCTGGAGCAAAAGGGCACCGTTTTTTATCCATCCCCGTCCATCAGATCAGCCACTCTTCCCTGCTTTGTACCTGCTATCGTAGCCTCAAATTCAGAACAATGTCCGTGCTGGCCCTGCTCTTTACCCCTGGTCTGACAACGTCAAGGACCACTCGCACCTCTCCACCGCGCTCTCATCGTTCACAGGATCCCTACCCAAGTTGATTCGATAATAGCGGAGCTGTCCAACCCTTCTAGACTTCTTCGTCTGGCGGTCCGCGCCCAGAGTACTGTATCCGTACCTTACCTTGATGTACGTAGTACCACCACCACGTAGCACTGTACCACCTCGCTTGTCGGTTTTGCTTCTTCCGCAGGAGCTTAAACCGGCGAGACGAAAGCCAAGACGGGTGACGTTGAACAAGGGTCTTTGTCTGTAAAGCAACATCATATCATCTTTAATAACTACAATCCCAGACGTCATTCAACGGTTACACAAGATGGACAAAGTAAATGAGTTGTGAAGAATCTCATGCTATTAACTATTCATTACTCTCCCTCTAGGTCATATCATATCATAGGTCTCGTACATATTACGATTACTCTACTATGACACTCTCCTTCTCTTTAACTCACCAACTTTTGCAAATGTAAAAAAGACACTATACCACCCATACCTTTTTATATCCATACCATCTTGTACCCATCCTGGGCTGGTAAAAACGCAACAGAAATCATCTTTTGTTGAAAGCAGATAGCCAACCCCTTTTTGTTTTGGTTCGCTCCCCCAAAGTAAGAAAAGAAAGAAAAAAAAACTTGCGCCCTGAAAAATACCATCCCTTTCTTTTATGCATGCATGTGGTGATACTGTCACCCTGGTGTCGTTTACCCGCATCTGTCGTGTACTTGTGCTGTTGGTAATATGTGCTGTGCTGTTGATGCTGTTGAAATGCAAAAAGTCATGATGCTTGCTTGAGCTTCACTTCGCTTCCCCCCTTTAATGCACTCCTGTATGTTCAAACAGGGCCCGTATGGCATCATTGTCCATGTTTGTCTCGAGGGCTAGCTGAAGTTGGATCCTCGCCTTTTGAGGGTTCAGAAAACCCGCGCCGATGCCTGCTTCACATGGGCCAACGAAACCGCCCTCCGGTCGCCGACTGACCACAACGGGAATGTCCGTCTCCCGGACCACTCTCCGGATCTCTTCGGTGCCTGCTGACGTCCAGAAGCCCGCACCGAGTCCAGCGAGCACAATCCCTCGAGCGCCGAGGTCAATGGCCGCTTGAAACATGCCGATGCTGAGCTCCTGATAACCGTACAACACCTCAACCTGGGGCAATGCCGCATCAGGGGAGAGTTGGTGCCCAGGCCAGCGCCCATTGGTGCGCTGAAGATCGAAATGTCGGTGGCCAAGTGGTCTGGAGGGCGGGTAAAAGAAGACGGGTTGAATGTTGACAAAAGTGCCCAGCTGGCCGCTGTCCGGTGACTGGAAAGAGTCGAGGTGGTTGGCGTTGACCTTGGTGGTGAAGCGAGCGGATCCAATGCGGTCGTTGATGACAATCATGACTCCCCGACTACGGGCGCTCTCTGTTGCAGCTAGCGTCACGGATGAGAGCAGATTCATGGGTCCATCGGCGCTGATGGCAGTGGCAGGCCTCATTGAGCCCGTCATAACAACGGGCTTGTCGCTCTGAACGGTGAGATCGAGGAAAAAGGCCGACTCATCAAGAGTATCAGTGCCGTGCGTCACAACAACGCCCTGTGTATAGGGGCTGTCGAGATCATCCTGGATTTGCTCGGCCAGCATCATCAACATGGTCGAGTTCATGTCAATGCTGTCGGCATTGGCAAACTGGACACCGCGCACGTTGGCGACGTTGCACAGCTGCGGCACGGCGTCGATGAGAGCTTGGACGCCGAGGGCACCGGAATGATACCCCGTCGTCTGGTGCGCGGAGCCCGCGGAGCCGGCGATGGTTCCCCCCGTGGCGTAGATGGTGACATTGGGGAGGTTTGGGGAGAAGCAGTTGAAGTCGGAGACTGTCCTGGAACCAAAGGGCAGGGCCGTCTGCATAGGCTGCTGCTGCTGGGCCGAGTGGTGGTGAGGTTGGAGGTACAGCTCGGAGGGGACGGGTGAGCCCCAGACGGAGGCGGCCCAGGCGCCAAAGGGGAGCAGGGCAGTCGAGGGCGCCAGCATGCTCACGATGAAGCGCCATAGGTAGGCAGCCCAGGTAACGGAAGATGAAGCCATACTGAGAGAGGACGATGCTCCGGGCCCGGAGCAGAGGACAGGAGCAGCGGCTACCAAGGCGCGGGCATGGACGGTTTTTAAGCTAGGCATCATCACGACTGGATCTCTTTGATATTGGATCTCTGAGCGATGCACGAGCCTTTTTCCTTCTCACACACTCAGCACAACTTGCTTGTCTCCTTGTAGATCTCGTCAGATCAGATGGCGGGTGGATTAGCTCTCGGCCTCGCCTTTTCCTTCTCGTCAAGGTCCAGCCTGTGAAGATGAGAGAGAGCTGAGCTGAAGTATTGGTTGTTAACCAAGGTAGGCAGCTAGCTCTGCTTGGATCGCGTCTGTTGAATCATCGGGAGCGGTTTATAATTAGTCAAAACCAGAGAGGTCTCGTTGAGCACGGTGCATCGGGCCGGTAGACGAATCGTAGACTGTAGACAAGACACCTAGCTTGCAACTACTCCATCTTACGACCCTGGTGCGCACCGGAGCATGGTCTGACATGGTTGCATTTTATTGTCTTCTGGTGAACCCGTTTCCCGAGGTCTGAGCTTGCCTTCAAGCCACTGGCTGCACGATGCGGGTGCGGCCTGCAGAGAAATGGTGGATGCTGGTGCTGGTGCTTTCTGCAAGCAAACAACTTAGCAAGTCCACACCCCAGGCTGGGGCCAGAGTTACTTGCTCCATGCTGCTATGGGGCAGACAGGCAAGAGTCAAGCAAGCATGGGGCAGGCAATATGGACCCTGGCGCGGTGGTGGTGGTGGTGGTGATGAATGGATGGATGTGGATGGGAGAGAGGTAGCAGCAGCGTGATAGTAGCAGTGGTGGTGGTGGTGAAAGATGGGGGTGCCCTGTATCTGCACCGATATGGATGAGTGAATGTGGGCAGGCACGTCAAGCCCATGAATGAAAATCCATGGTGGGCGGACGTCGCTTACAGACAGTGGATGCTGCTTGGCCACGAGAAGGGCAGGCTACGAAATGCCTTCTACGACGGACGTGCATGGCGATACCAACATTGCAATTTACCGGCAAGAGAGGAATGGGCAGTGAATGGATGGATGGATCCTTGAATGGGATGGGATGGGATGGTCTGAACCAAAAGTTATCCAATCCTTAACAAGCAGGTCCTCGACAGGGATTGCAGGTTGCTTCAAAAGCGCTCCGGGATGTCGACAATTCCCTTTCGAGAATCCCACGTCTACTAATCCCTGCTAGCCGACTTTTGTCGAGTTGGGAGTTGGGGATAATCCGATGAACGCTCACGGCTCATGGCAATCATGGGCTCTGTGGCTCTCGCTCAGAAACGCGCGTGCGTGCCGCTAAAGCACAACTCGTGGCATGACATGCATTTGGCATCCTGGTTTGTTTGTTGCTACCTACTACGTAGATAGCGTAAGCCTGGTCTGGGCAAATAACACCCTTGACTTTGTTCTTCTTGTTTTTCCTCTTCTTCTTTTTTCAACCATGGGTTCAATGACAAACAAATAAACAATGATAATCAGAAGCATAATTGTCAAAAACATTCGTTATCATTGTAAGAAACAAAAAAAAAAGACACGCAAGATGCAAGACGCAAGCACGTACATGTCAGGGTGCCTGGCATCGTGTGGGGCTTCCCAACCTGGGTCCTCAGCCGATGCCCCATTCTCCATATGAGGCAATTCCATCAAAACTTCTCACATGCCAGGGCAGTTTTTTCTCTCTTGAGTGTATCCATGTCCCGGTATTTTTTTTGTCCATCAATCTCCTCAATCTAGAATGGTTTCTAGTAATAATCTTCATGGTCGTTGGATAAAAAGGTTGTCGTCGTTTCTCCAGATTATACCACCCCCCAAAAGTAAAAGGAGCACACCACTCAACGGCCGTGGCGCAACACCATCTTGCAATTAGATTCACATGATGTCGCTGACACGCGCCTCATCGTTCTTCGCAACCACCTCCCAGGTCTTTCCCTGGCTCAAT